TACAACAAGTGTAGTTAAGAAAATATTATAGGGGCCAGGGAGATGGCTCAGTGGAATAAGTGCTTCCCTGGCAAGCACAAGGGCCTGAGTTCAATCCGCAGTTCCGCAAAAAAAAGAAAATATTATACAATGCCTTTAAGAGATACTGTCCATTTTGGCAGGAGAAAAAGAAATTTACATGTAACCATAATGTTAGCTATATTTTAAAAATTACGTAAAAATGCCAGATAAGGATTTTTTAAAATATAGGATTATAGGTGTTTTTCTCTGCTTTTTTATATTTTCAAAATCTGTACCTGAGCTATAATTTCTTTTAAAATTGGAAAGAATGGGCCAGGTGAGATAGCTCAGCAGTCTAACATGCCTGGTTAGGCAAACACAGGTAAGCACAGGGACCGCAGTCGATCCCCGCCAGTACCAGGTCCACCCCCAGGGTGGGCTGAGCTGGCCCCAAAATTAAATAAAATGGGGAAAGTTAGATACAAGGCTCTGAGTTCAATTCATTCCCAGTTCTAAACAAACAACACTCAACAAATATCTAGGTACAAAAATACACATGAACTGGGCTTGGTGGTGCATGCCTATAATCCCAGCACTTGGGAGGCTAAAGCAGGAGGATCGATGCAAGCTTGAGGCCAGCCTGGGCTCCAAACTGAGTTGAAGGCCAGCCTGAATTGCACAGTAAGACTCTGCCTCAAAAAGACCAAAAGAAGACATGAACCCCAAGTATCTACAGCAGCTTACACAGCGCAGAATTCCCATGGCTACCAAAATCCCTACTGAGCTCTGAGAAGCCTTTGGAGTCCTAGTGGGGGCCAGAGAGCTGTTCTTAGAATGCCTGAGGAAGCAGAAGATACTCGGCCCCTCAGTGGTAGAGGCCATGAGGAAACGGCAGGCGAGGCAGGACTAACATGAACTAAGTCCCTGCGTCCTAAGACAGCTCTAGAATTACAAGAGGAAACTTCAACAATTTATGCCCTTGCTATTATTAATTATGCAAGAGAACATTTACTGGGAACCTCATAGGCACAATGGAGTATAACATTACTAGATGTAACTGACGATGTTATGGATCACTACCTGAAAACCCCATATAGGAAAAGAATGCAGAATTACAGTAAACTAAGTCAATAACTCCAGCTGTTCTTTTCCTCATAGATTTATGCCCTTTAAGTTTTGTGGTGCCACAACAATGCTATGTGTCTGATATGTAGGACATCTGTTAATGCTAGAAAAATGATCTCATATGCACATTTCTAGGCCATGGGCTCCTAATGCTCATCTTCCCAAGCGTCAGCTGGCACTGGGTCCTGGAAAAGGCCTGGGGTACATCCGATGAGGAAGATGCCTAGAACCATAACCACAGTGGGTCGGGCTCTGCCGGGCTCTGCCGGGCTCTGTAGAGATGCGCAACCCTTTCACTACCCAATCAATAGCCGTGCTCTGCGGTTCAAACTGTCCTTGCGTTACATAGTCCAGGCTGGCTTCAAGAACTAGGATTGCAGACGTGCACCATGATGCCCAGCTTTTTGTTGTTGTTGTTGTTGTTGCTGTCACTGTGGCAAGAGTCACCTAAATCACTTTTTTTTTTTAAATTTTTTTTATTTGTGTGTGTGTGGTCAGCTCAGCCCACCAGGAGGCAGGGCTGGCTGGCATGTGGTGCTGGGGGATTGAACCGCGGTCCCTGTGCTTTGCTAAGCTTGTTCTAAGTAGGTGCTTTAGACCACTGAGCCATCTCACCAGCCCCCCCCCCCTTTTTCTTAAATAGGGTCTTGGCATGTAGTTCACGCAGGTCTTGAACTTACTATGTAGCCCAGCCTGCCTGATAACTCACGATGATCCTCCTGCCTCAGCCCCCTGCCTGAATGTTGGGATCAGACATGCACCAATGCACCCAGCCTAAACTACTTCATTACATTTGAAACAGTTCCCCGTACCAAGATGCCTCAAATGTTTACAGTTGTTCATCTTCCCCCAGCTTACCTGAGAGCTGTTCTTCTCTCCAATGCTATGCGTATCCGTTTCAGAAGCTCTGTTAATATCTTGCGGCGTTTGTGAGCGAGGGGGGCTTGACAATGATGTGAAGAGAACAGAAAAAACAGAACGCTGTTAACATTCTGTCATTAGAAACAAAACTCGAGCCAGCGATACAGCTCAGCGGCACAACGCTTCCCTGGCAAGGGCAAGGTCCTGAGTTCTAATCCTGCTAATCCAGGTACATGTCTCCCCCCCACACACACACCCAAAAAAACAAAAACAAAAAAAAAAAAAAAACCTCATGCCTCATTTTTCTAGACTGCCTAACAAAAGACGAGAGAGAGAGAGAGAGAGAGAGAGAGAGAGAGAGACTGACTGACTCTAAAAGCAAGGGCAGCTCCTTCGTTAAGGACAGGATGGACTGAGCCAATCACTGTGGAAATCAGTGTGGGAATTCCTCAAAAACTAAAACTAGGTCCCATTCCCCCCAGCTATCTCGCTTCTTGGTAGCTTCCCCCCAAAATTAAAACTATCGCACCACAGTGATACACACAAACCCAGGTTTACAGTAGCCGTCTATAACAGCTCAATCTTAGAAGTAGTCAAAATGCCCATCAACTGATGAGTGGGTGAAGATTTTTTTTTTGATTTGCAAATACAATTTATTTTACAGAAATTGACATTACAAACAGCAGACACCTCCCCCCGCCTGCCCCGCCAGGCACAGGCCATGCAATGCGAGGTGAGCAGCGACGCGGCCACTGCTTTGGAGTGGGATTGGAGTGCAGTGGCCTGGCCTGCACTGCCCTGCCCGCCTGCCCACACGCGCACACACACACACACACACACACACACACACACACGCCCGCCCGCTGCTGCACAGTCCTCAGAGTCTGTCTGGGCCCAGCTGCTCTGGGCCAATCACATGGCTCCAGCCCAGTTCCCCAACTCCTGCATGTCTTTGTCTCCCTCCTCCTTCTTCTCGGTGGGTTTGGATGGTAGGGCTGTTGAGGGACATTTGGTACAGGAACTGTTTCGGGACCGCTGATCTCCAGCAAATTCTTGTCGAGCTCCTCCTGTTCTTTTTTTTTTTTTTGGCAGAACCAAGGATTGAACTCAAGTCCTTGAACTTGCCAGGGAAGCGCTTATTCCACTGAGCCATCTCCCCGGCTCCAAGCTCCTCCTGTTCTAGTGCTTCCAATTCTGCCATGAGCTCATCCTCATCAAACTCTTCTCCAAAACCTACAGGTTTGGAAATAGCTGTGGAAATCTCCTCTGCAAGTTCTTGCTGGTCAGCAACATCCTGCATTATCTCATCAACGTTACTGATGTCCATGTTGTCGTGTGCGGCCTTCATGGCCTTAGCAGCGTAGCCCATGTTCTTGAGCACCTCGGCGTTGGTGTTGGCGTTCTCCAGGGCCCCCCGCTGGAACGCAGTGGAGGACAGTGTGCCATCAATCTGCGCCAGCTGCTTCTCATACCTCTTCTTGCGCTGCAGTGCCTGGAGGGCCGCGCGCTTGGTTTTGGTGCCACACTTCTTGGCGGCCGTCAATTCTTGCTCAATCGTCTTCTCCAGGAACTCTTGTTTTTTGCTTAGCATCTCCTCCGTGTGTCCCACAGTCGCTGGATGGCCTCCTGGGGGGTCGGGCCGCCCTTGCCGGCCTTACCCCCACCAGCCCCGAACAGCTTCCCGAACACCGGCGTGGTTTCTGCTCGCAGCTCCGCCTTTGCCGCTGCTCTGGATCGGCTAGGCTAGGCTGGGCCGGCACCCACTCCCGGCCCCACTGCTCCCTGCAGCAGCACGCCTCTCCTCTGCCTCGGCCCCACAGCTGGCCCGGTACATGCCCGAAGATTTCTTTTACAACAAAGTACTACCTGACACAAAGAAGGGGAAGCTCAGACAGCTCTAGCTAAGTGGATGCGCCTTGAGACCATATTCTTCAAGTGAAATAAGCTGGACAAGTAAATATGGCACTGATTATACTTTTGGTTTCTCCACTAGAGAAAGACCAAAATGTATTAACACATTATTGGAAAATTGGAAGAAAATGTTCAAATGAGAAGGGGAACAAGCAGGGTAGGCTGAAGAGACAACAACAACAAAAAGCAATGGAAAGAAAGAGGTTGAAGGAAGGAGAGGGGAATCAGAAGAAGAAAGATACATCACACGCAGGTACAAGTCCCCTCCGACCAATGTGATCATTACGTATGTCTAAAATGTACCAGTAAAATAAAAAGGACAGGTAGGAGGGTTCTGGCCAGCATCCACGTCTTCCCTTCCACCCAGCAACAGACCGGGGTGCAGCAGCGCTTTCATCTTTTCAATAAGCACAAAAGCAGCCAGCCAGGGCCCTCTGGAGAAGAGGCCAGAGCTGGCAGCGAGCAGCGGGCTCCCTCGCCCCCTGGCCACACGGTCTCTAACAGCCTGAGAAGACCTGACCTTGGATCACTGACTGCTTGGACTCACTCCTACCTTCTGCTACCAGGAACCTGCAGCTCTCTGACAAGCCCACGGCACCACAGGAGTGATTTTCCTAGACTTAAGGGTCACCTTCAGAACTAGCAGACCGCTTGAGCAGGGTCCCTGCAGACCAAGCCCCAGACCATCTCCTCCCAGCACATAGCAAGGTTCCTTCTGAAGCCTGTCCCCAAAAGGCATGCACACCCGTCACTGTCTTTTCACTTGGGTCACCAGCACTACAATGCACATACTTACTTAAACCTACCTGTCACAGTGGGAACTCTTGGAGCTGCTCCGTCCAGATTCATGCTGGGCATCCAGCAGTATTTTTTCCATGTCACCATTATAAATAGAAACTGAGGCTGGAACACTGCTCCCATTCCCGTTATTGCTGAAGTGCAGCTCTACCCAGGAGCCTGACAGAGATCAAGAAAAGGCAGGGCTGGAATTCTCGACCTACTTTGGAATTCAGTTGTAACTCTTTGGTTTCCAAGCAGTACAAACTGAGACACATAATGAACCACCTCCTGGGGCCCACCATGACAGCCTCGGTGCCACTTCCGGTAAGCGGGTCATGGTGTCTCGCTCTCCCTAGGTCTAGCAGCAAGCCCAAAGCAGGAACAATGTATCAGGAGCTCTTGTCATTCCTTTATGTAGGGCCGACCTTTGCATATCTGCAGTCATTAAAGGTCCAGTGACTACTTTCCTGTACTCCATTTATAGAAAAAGCCTAAGTTTATTTGAAATTAAACTTTTCTCATTTTTTGAGACAGAGTGTCACTATGCAGTTTAGCCTGGCCATGAACTTTAAAATTATAGCTAGCCTCCAACCCACAAGGGATCATCCCGCCTCAGCTTCTAGAGTGCTAGGATTATGGACATGTACCACCCCCAGCTGAGCAGTTTAAATTTTACGTGATCACAGTCATGGTGGGGAGATGGTACATATACCTGACACTGCTCACTTCTTCTATTATCCCCTTCCTCTCCCTGGGCAGTGGTGCACACCTATAATCCCAGCACTTAGAAAGCTAAATCAGGAGCCTGGGGTATGCAGTGAGTTCAAGGCCAGGCTGAACTACACAGCATGACCCTGTCTCAAAAAATAAATTTAGCCATTCTGGCCAGGCACGGTAGCCTGTAATCCCAGCAACTCAGACCTCAGGGGGAGGCTGAGATGGGAGGATCATAATGAGATGAGATCTGCCAGGGATACACAGTGAGTTCAAGGCCAGCTTGAACTACAAAGGGAGACCTGGTCTCAAAAAAATGTTAGGAGATGGGCAAGGTACTCACCTGTAATCTCAACACTCAGGAGGCTGAGGCAAGAGGATTATTGCAAATTCAAGGCCAGCCTGGGCTACAAAGTGAATTCAAGGCCAACCTGAACTGCATAGCAAGACCCTGTCTCAAAAAGACCAAAAATAAAAAATAAACAATAAAAAAATTTAAAGCCATTCTGTGGGCATGTAGGGGTATTTTGTATCTCTCTGATTTCTAAGAAGGTTGAAGACGTTTTCTTGTTTACTGATCATGAGTGTCCTCTGTTTTTGAACTAGAAATTCAAATCCTATTTTGCTATGAGTTATCACAAGAGCTCTTAATGTGATGTAAGTACTTTTTTTTTTTTTTTTTTGGTGGTACCAGGGATTGAACTCAGGACCTTGCACTTGCCAGGCAAGCACTTATTCCACTGAGCTATCTCCCCAGCCCATAAGTAGCTTTCATTCTTTAAAATTCATCTCAAACTTAATTCTTACGCTGAGATGGGATGCACCTCTTACTGAAGACTGCCTGCCTCTGCTTCCTCTTCTGTTTCCTAGTGCCTGCTACCTTTGTCAGAAGCCAAGCACGCACACATGCACAGGACTCCTCCTGGGCCCAGATAATTCCTCCAGTCAGTTTCACAGGCTTACTTAACCATAGCAAATTGTTAAAAATTAGCCTTGATAGGGCTGGTGACTTAGCTCAGTGGCACAGCAGACAAACGTGAGGCCCTAAATTCAATTCCCAGTACAAAAAGGGAGTGGGGGCAAGTGTGGTGGTACACGCCTGTAAGCCCAGCACTCTGGAGGCTGAGGCAGAAGGACTGCTACAAGCTTGAGGCCAGCCCGGGCTACAAACTAAGTTCAAGGCCAATAGGGAGATCCTGTCTTACAAAGGAAACAAACAAACAAAAAAAAGCCTGGATACAAGTCAGGCACGGGGTGCACATCTGTATGTAACCCCAGTGATTCTGTTTCCATTTTTTAAAACCAAATAAGCTAATTTTGTAGTCACTGTTATTTTACTAGGCACAATAATAATCACCCTGAGCTGTTCTCTGTCCCTAACCAATAAATACAGCACATACAGTACCACACGGAGCACCCTGGTACCCAGCTACGTTCGCTGGAGGCAGGGTAAGCAAGGCTGCAGCGTTCTAGCACAGGACGCATCTCCTAAGAGGCCTGCCTGGGCCTCCGCAGGACTCCAGCTGCAGAGCGTATGTCACTTTAATCACAAAAGGCAAGTCAAAGGCCCTGAGTGAGATGCGGATTTACAGCACACCCGTCACCAGCCTCAGTGAGCTGGTAAATGATTACACAGAGTTTTAAATGCGCCTTTCCTGCTTAGCCTTGCACATGGCTTCGCACTGGCCTTGCCCCAGAGCGCACAGCACTGCTCCCTGAGGCCAGCCTGGAGCCATTCCGCCGCCCATCAGCAGAGGGTGCAGAGCCCTCAGGGTGCACACAGCACCTTTCTTTTTAAGTGTATTTGGTACAGAGTCTTGCTATGCAACCTGGACTCATAGTGATCCTCCTCTCAGCCTCCCTGGTGCTGGGATTACAGGCATATGCCATGCCTGGCCAGCTCGGCCAGCATAGCATGTAGTACCGGGGATAGAACCCAGGTACTTGTGCTTGCCTCAGCAGGCCACACAGCATTCTGAGTTCAAGCATCTGATGATGCCTGACAGGGAAGCGTCACAAGGCTCAAAGGAGTCTTCACTAGCCCTCCCTCCTGGAGCGGGCAAGAAGACAGCCAGCCAGCCAGCTCTGGCACACAGGCCTCCTGGGCCACACCCTCAGCTTTGGGCAGTGCCACTCTTTTAGGCTCGATCTATGCTACTCAGATCAAGTCTGGCTCAAATTATTTGACTAAGCTGCAATACTGCTCAATTTCTCACGACAGCAGACGTATCGGAGCTTCAAGAGGGTGGTGCCTTTTCTTTATGCATTTAGTACAGGGTCTACAGGGTCTCACTACACAGATCATACATGTAACGATCCTCCTGTTTTCAGCCTCCCAAGTACTGGGGTCCCAGTCTCAATCGCCACGTCAGCGTGCCCCAGGAGGAGGGCTGGCACAGCACGCTGGGATTGAACCCCGGACCCTGCATCTGCCTAAGCAGGCGCTTTAATCTGCTGACCTTTCTATCTGGCCAGCCCTTGTGGTGCCTTCTTTCCAAAAAAGGTTTCCAATACCAAATGTGATTCTTCCCAGCCCAACAACCAATTTTCAAATACTAACTAGGTGTTTAACAATTCAGTCCTGACAAGATCAAGACTTGGTATCAGATCTCACAAATTAAAGGGCTCAGTCCCACTAAACTGAACAGTCAGAAACAGGGTGTCCAGGCTATCCACATTTCTACCCAGCCAAAACCTAAGACAGGGATTCCCGGTGCCTCTCAGGCTCAATAATTTGTCAGAACTTAGGAAAACGCTAACTCCACTGATGTTTCTCCAGCACCTGCCTGGCAAGCACAAGGTCTCAAATTCGATCCTTGGGACCAAAACCCCCATCTTATACTTCTTTTTTCTTTTTTTTTTTTTTTTTTTTTTTTTTTTTTTTTTTTTTTTGTACTGTGGTACAGAAGACAATGTATTCATCTTCTTTTTCCAAATAAGGAACGGCAAAGGCGAGACTCAAACTACACTCAATCTGATGGTTCCATCTATCTACTACAGTGTTCGTTTCTTGACCCAAGACATTTGAGGCTTGAATGAGCTGCCGCTTGTTAGCTGAAAATCTCAAGAAGATCAACCACTCCCCTTCATTCCTGAACCCTTCCAAAGAGAGGAAAGACAGCTCTTACATTTCTGATATACCTCAGGAACAGCCAGGTGGAGCACCACGCTGGGCAAGGACTGAATGGGGGATCAGGAAGGCAGCTGCCTCCCAACCCCAAGATCATCTCCCAACCTCAGTGCTCTGTAGCACTGTGGCTCCAAAGTTCTCCGTGTTTAGTTGTTCCAGACAGTGTCTCCCTCTGTGGCCCACACTCACTAAAAGGCAAGGGTAATCCTCCTGCCTCAGCCCATCTTTATGTCTTTTTAAAAATAGCCTACCCTCCACCCCCTGCCTTTGCCTGGCAGGCCTAAGTCTCCAATCTTGGATAACTCACTGGCTCTTTTTCTTTTCTTTTTCTTTTTTTTTTTTTTTTTTGAGTGGTGTAAATTTTTTATTTTACTTCACCTGGTGGTACTCTCTTGGTGGATTTCACTCTCTCTCTCTTTTTTTTTCCCACCGGCTCTTTCTGGTGAACTAGTCTGAGGCTATCTATCCTGGGACCCTACTAAGTCATCTCAGTAGTACAAACAAATGTGTCCTAAAAGAACTTACAAAACACTCCATGAAAAAAATAGTATCGCTCAAGAAATCCCAAAGGTTGAGGCGCTCTGTGCCAAGAACTGGGGACAAAGGTTAAAATATTTAGGGGCAAATCAAAAGCACTGAGACCTGTGCATTTCTCACTAACCCCCGTGGTGGTACACTCTAGGAATGCTAACCTCAGGGAGGCGGAGGTGGGAGGGTTGCCAAGTTTAATATCAGCCTGAAAACTTAATGATGCAGTCCCTCCCTCCAAAAACACAGGGAACAAGCTGGGGACACAGCTCACTGCAAAGGTTGCCAGCTGTGGTGGCGCACGCCTGTAATCCTAGCACCCAGAAAGAACGCTGATGCAGGAGTATCATTGCAAATCAACGCCAGCCTGGGCCACTAAGTGAGCTCAACTGCATAATGAGACCTTGTCAAAAAAAAAAAAAAAAAGGAAGACAGACAAAAACACGAAGGCCTTGGGTTCAATCCCCAGGACCACAAAGCAAAACAAAGGGCTGGGGATATAACCCAATGGCACAGTGCCTGCCTGGCAAGCACAAGGCCCTGCGTTCAATTCATGGTGCCTCCCTACCTCCTGCAAAAGAAACAAACTCAAAACAGTGGGCAAGTTATAAAGCACTTGTAGTACTTTATGTTTCATTACTACCCCAAGCCCAGCCCACCCCTTTAAAAAAAAACACTGACTTCCTAATCTCAGACAAATATTTAGTAAAAAAAAACTCTAATGGTGATGTAGAGCTGCGACGAACTAACCCCAGAGAACACACCACAGCCGGCTGTTTCTATCACTGAAATATCTAATAAAAGGTTTTCCATTATTGGCCTAAGAAAAGCAGACAACGAAACTGCCTCCCAGAGTGACCTTAGAAAAAGTTTAACATTTAAATGCTTCTAAAATTAGTTAGGAAATGAATAAGAGTCTTAGCTGGTAGACAATTTTGAGCAGGAAGTCAAATGAGTGGGTGATTCAGGTTACTGGTTTTGTTTTGGCAGCTCTAGGGACTGAACCCAGGCCTTTGCACTAAGCTGCATCTCCAGCCCTTTTTTTTCCTCAAACAGGCTCTCACTCAGTTGCCCAGAGTGGACACAAGCTTGTGATCCTTCTGCCCTAGCCCTCTCACGGTGGCTTTTTGAGACAGGGTCTCACCAGGCTGAGGGTGGCCCCAAACTGCAATCCTCTTTCCTGAGCCTCCTGAATGTTGTGATTATGGGTGTAACAAACTCTGATTTTTCCTCAGCTGTTTTCAGACTTAGATATCACTGTGACTACAGGTAAAATGTAGAGGCTGAGCCGGAATCTCAACGTCTGAAACCCCTTCACACTCTAAAACTGTCTGACGTTAGCTGGTGTGGTCCTACAGGTTAAGGCTGGATTCCAAATTCAAGGCCAGTATGAACTACAGAGACCTTGGCTCGAAAAACAAAAATAAGTCAAAGAGATAGCTCAGTGGTCTAAGCACCTAACTGGCAAGTGTAAGGTCCTGAGCTCAATCCCAGGTATCCCCCCACCCCCAAAAAAGCTAAAAATCAGAACTGCACAACAAACTCCTCTCCAAAAGAAATAAAATGTATTTGCCTTCCTTAAGTCTGCCCAAGGTGGGCTGCCTTCAACAGACCCGTGTGATCAGAACCGGTTCCAAATAAAACAGTAACTGAGAAAGTGCAAAGAAATCATTAAACGTGGCTTATATCGTTGTACTAAATCATGCTCAAGAGTGAAAGACAGTGGGTCCTTTAGGGAAACTAAAAGGCACACTTTCACCCTCCTGCAAATGGGAGCGACTTAGCACAAAATCCTGTCTCCTTTCTGCCTATTAGTAGTAACACATCAAAGTAAAGTAACCCAAATCAAGTGCTGATAAACAGCTTTCACTAGGTCCAGTCAGGTGCAGAAGGCAACAGAACTAATCCATTTTGCTGTTAACACTTCAGGAAAAATATCTGTTCCCTGAGGAAGTGTTTACTGTTTCCTCTGTGGGTTTGGCTACCAAGGCTTCCACAAGTCTCCACTCAGAGGTAAACAAGGGGCAATCACAGCAGAGCAGGGGAGGGGAGGGGAGGGGAGGAGAGGAGAGGGTTAAGTGCTGCCTCAGCCACCAATCCAAGCTGGATTCACATTTCGCTACGCAGCTGCCAAGCCCCACGTGACCCAAGTGACCCCTCCTACACTGGACTGGATGCTGAACAAGTGCCCTGCTGCACGTACACCCGAGAGAATGGCGCAAAGAATCCTTACGTGAGTTTCCACACCATGCAACCATCTTTTAATAGAATAAGCAAAGCGAAAAAGCAAAAGCTCAACTCCTGCGTTGGCAGTGACTCAGCAGTTTGGTGTGTTCCAGAGACAACATTCAGAAGCCGTCCAAGGAACTAAACGTGAATACAGGATGACAGAAATCAAGCAACTTGCTAAGTAGAAAAGTGGAGATTCTACAGCACTGTTTATAAACGTCCCGCGGGTCTCATTTTATGAGAACGACAAAAACTTCTGTCTACTTCAAAGGAGTTGTCAATGTTTGAATTTAAGAAGAAAAACCCTAAATTACAGGATTTTTTAATATGTAATTTGTAATTTTGCAATACACGTTCTTTCTCTACCATTGTATTTGGCTAACCAAGTCCTACCTAATGAAATGTCATTTAAAGTAATGAATAAAATCAGGTCACTAAATTCCTTTTTTTTTTCTTTTTTTTTTCCCTAATTTTATTTTTTTTTAATATTTATTTATTTAATGTGTGGCCAGCTCAGCCCGCCTGGGGGGCGGGGCTGGCTGGCATGTGGTGCTGGGGATTGAACCGTGGTCCCTGTGCTTTGCTAAGCTTGTTCTAAGTAGGTGCTTTAGACCACTGAGCCATCTCACCAGCCCTTTTCCCCTAATTTTAAAGATTTAAAATTCAGTCTTGGAGGTTTTGAACTTCAGCTCATTTTTGCCTAGTAAACTCTTGCTTCAGAGAATACAAAGGTCAACAGCCACCAGGTTCCCCTGGCCAACACTCCGGCTCTCGGTGAAGACTAGGAGGGGACGGGCTCTCCAGGGCAGGGTCGCGCCTGGGCCACAGGCTCAGACCCGCTGGGTGGGTCTCACTCCGGGCTCCCACCTAGGCAGTAAGATGCTGCACCTGTCTGGATTTTCTCTCGGTAAAACAGCAGTCTTGTGGATCAAAACCAGCAACTGCTAGGCAAACAGCAAACTGTCTGCTCAGGGGCATTATGCAGTGTGCGGTGGCTGCGTAGTGGGAGGGGAGTCTTTCTGCTTGCTCTTTTCTTGGCCTGGAAACAAACCTAAAAGCTCTGCCTTGAAATCACCCTCTAGAAAAGCTGAACGCATACACACACTTTCTACCCTCTTTTGTTTAGAAGCTTCCCACTATGTACATACAGTACGCTGAGAAGTGAGTAGCCAATGACTTGTGCCCTAAATCAGGTAGGTCCCCCGCCTCGTCCACCCCCTTCAGGAGGACTTCAAGGGCGTGGTGGCACACGCCCATGATCCCAGCTTTCGGAGGCTGAGGCAGGAGGATGCCCACGAACTCGCAGCCAGCACAAACCACACAGTGAGCTCCAAGCCAAGCTACACACCAAAAAAAGTCTTAGAGTCCCAACGGATATAAATAGTAACGATTAAAATCAAAGCAAGTAACACTCAACTTGCAACCCACCTGGATCTTGCTCGTCAAAACTAACACTGCCTGAACCACAGACTAGGAAGGAAAGGCCAGAGTCAACCGTGGAGATCTTAAGTTGCAATTAGAGGTCCCCCGGCCTGAAGAGCGAGGCTTGTCGGTCAAACACCGCGACCAAACGCACACTCTGGCACTCGGCCGCAGCCCGCCGCCGCGCCCGCTCCCGCCCCGCCGCCGCCGCCTCCCCTCTGCGACCCTCCGCGGCCTGCCCCGGCTCCCCGCGGCCTCACCCTGCAGGTTCTCCTCCTGCAGCCCGGGGACCCCACTCTGCGACATGGCACCGAGGCTACTCGCCCGAGCGCTCGCGCCCAGCTGTGACCGCAGTGCCCGGCTGACGATCGCTAGACAGCTGCGAGCCGCGCGCGGGCCTGCCGCCTACTCTACCCCGAG